CCTCCCTAGGCTTGCCTACTGATCACGAGATGCTGAGTAAGTCCTACAGGACTGTCGGGTTACAGTTGTGGTTGACGGAAGGTTAGTTGTAACTGAAATTCCGGTCGGGGGATGACCGGAACACGAGAAAGGACTTTTGTTGTATAATGGACGTGGTGTAAGACAAGTCGGCGTGCCTACAACTGTTAGCCGTGGGTGGGCCATACACAGCCAGGCGAGGGTGTTGTGTTGACTAAGGGGCGGCCGATTGAGCAGACGTGGTGGGCTGTGCTAACTAGAGAGGGCCACTCACGCCTTACCATCAGAGAGAAACCCGAGGTGTCGCTATTGTGGTTGTTGCAGTACGTACCACTCACGAGCCGCTATTGCCGCCCGCCGTTGACTAGTATGCATAACTAACCACAAACTTCGATTATGTCACTGTTTGAGCACAGGCTGCAGCTGCTGGTATTGACAGTGGAAAACTGTGGCAGCATAGTGTGCTCGAATTACAGGCTACTGGTTGAAAGCTGCATGAACAGCCTGCTGAGGCCAGCTGCCGCAAACTATTGCGGGGCCGCTGACTGTGTCTAGACTGCGGYTGTGACCCCTGTTGACTACGGTTAGCCATTGCTGACTGTTATTTTTCGCGGCTGCTGTCTGCTGCATCGAGATTCGGACTATGGTCGCGGACTGAGCATCTGCGCGCAAATTGTTGTGGACGAGGGTGGGGTGCGGACTACTGCAAGTACACTGCCGCTACGTACTACGATTATTAACTGTTGTTGTAGGCCATGCTGGGGATAGTGTTGTCACCGCGGCCGGGCTGAAACAGTCTTCGCTGCTGTGCCTGTTTCTGACTGTGCGCAACTTCCACGGCTGGGTACTACAAACTACTGCGCACTACCCCGTGCTACTGCGTGCTGTCCCATATCACTGTTACTGCGGGCTAGGCATGAGCAACCCCTATTAAAGCAGCGTACATTGTTGTTGATCACTGCATACTATTGTATACCGCTACGAGCCACTGAGGGTTGCAGTTGAGGACTGTTGGTGGTCGCTACCATTGCTGTTGACCACCGTTGATGCAGTCTGTTGGTGACTATTGGTGATTGCGGCCATTGCCGCTGGCCGCTGTGGGATGCTACTTCCGCTGCACGTAAGGACTGATGCAGGGAGTTGGGCAGCGACAGTTGAGCTTAGGGGAGTAGGTAGGACTTAGGAGGGGAGCTGGAGGCCATACGTTGGGGGCTCGTGAGGAGGGTTACTTCAGCAGCCGGAATTCGTTAACCAAGCTGTCAGCTGGCTGCCATTGCGGGGCCCTCATGCGAACCAAGATAACAAGGCCCCCTCATGCAAGTCTTAGTGCACCCCTCTGAGAGTCTCTATATCCTCTCTTTCTGCCCTTCTCACTCTCAGTCTAGTCTGTTGGTTACGAGAGGAAGGTGGCAGGCGGAGTTTCAACCTGTAGAACCTCATCAAGACTCTATGGGGAGTCATCCCACCGATTGCGGGAGCCCGGTCGGAACCTAGGCGAGGTTCTGGAGGCAGGGAACCATCAGGTAATYTCTCTCTACCTGTATACCCCACTACACCCATGTTTGCATATCCCCCTATGGTTTGTTTGATGTATGTCTGCTTGTCCCTATGATTCTTGCTTTCTATTTCAGGACATAATCAGACAAAGTAAAGGAAGGCATGTACAATGTCAGTTTTACTTCTTTGTTTTGCCTGAGTGAACGCAGACTGTGGGATTGCATCWGGGGGAAGGGTGGGAGAAAGACAGTATTGCATGAAGTTTGACTGGGTCAACCAAAGGCTGGGCCAATTCCATAAGTTTGGGAAGGCCCAGTGCTGTGTTTTTATTTTGTATTGCCTGGAGGACCAGACAAATCCATAAGTTTGGGTGGTCTGGTTGCTCTGACTTGTGAGGGCTGAATGTGATTGCTTCTTTAGGTGCTAGTCAAATCCATAAGTTTGGGTAGTCTGGCGACCTTGTTTATTTGGGGTTTTTGACAGTTTCTTTGGTTTCTGAACGAGGAGGTGAGCATGTCCCATAAGGTTGAGTGGTTTTACCTCTTCCTGCTTTGGTCCAAGAGAAATAAACCAGGCTGAGGACCAAGACATGTTCCATAAGTTTGGGTGGTCTTGGTCCAACGCCTCGCACATGCTGGAACCGGAAGGCTATAACTTTGATATACTTTACTATTATACTATCTATGAACAGGCTAGTCAGGCAGGGTTCCATAAGTTTGGGTGGCCTGACTATAGCTTATCACCAACTGAAGAGAGTACTTAACTAAGAATAAACTTGTGGTACGAAGGGGCAGGCTGAGTCTTGAGCTGAAGATGATCGGCTCAGCTATATGCTACCTCAAAAGACTAAGTACAGACAATTATATAAACCTTGGATACTTAGACAGTTCAGGGCGACTAGGATGGCCTAGTCATATGTCCAAAGAAGAGAAAAGTTGTTGTGCCCTTGGTTTGTGTATGCTTCTTGGCTGGGCTAGACATATTCCATAAGTTTGGGTGGTCTAGCCTTATGCCCTAGGTAAGCTGGGTATAAGGGATAAATCATTGAAAGACTACGAACTATTGGTTGCTAAGGTAACTTGGGGAAGGTGGGAGAATGCATGTCTGTGGTTTGGCCTGCATGTGACCGAGTGATGCCACTTCTTAGTCTGAGTTTGGATTTGATAGGTAGTTGCTGTAGTTGCTCGCCACATGTTAGAGCCACAGGAGTAAGAGTCATTTCCTGCATTTTCTGGGCTCGTTTTTTTTAATTAGATTAATTTCTGCATTTTCTGGGATCTTTTGATTCGTACTTGGTCTTGTATAAATCTTGACAAGCCACTTTCTCTACGGGAAGCGCTGCCGAAATTTCTACAAAATCAAGGAGTTAGTCAAAACTTTGACTTTTTTAGGATCCGGTCTTGATGACTTCTTTGACTTAGTAGGAATCTGGGGAGCCTCCTTTTCTAAAGGAGGTGCTGCCCAAATTTTTACTAATTCAGGAAGTTAGCGAAAAATTAGGCCTTGAAGGGTCAAAGTCATTGTCACGTCCCAAACTTGGCCTTGTACAAATCTTGGACTAGCACTTTCCCAATGGGAAGCGCTGCCGAAATTTCTACAAAGCTAAGAAGTTGGTTGAGATTTTGTCGTGACAGGACTTAGACTTTATGTCTAAGTTCACGTCTGACTTAGTATAGATGTGGGGGGCCTCCCTCTCTGAAGGAAATGCTACCCAAATTTTTGCTAGGTCAGGGAGTTAGTCAAATTTTGACTTTCTGGGATCCAAAGTTTGTCTTTTTTGGACTAATATATTTTCTGCTATGTCACTTTTCCGACGGGAAGCGCCGCCGAAATTTTCCTAAGTTAGAGGAGTTAGCCTATATTTTGACAAGTGGCGACCTATGTAGGGGAGGCTATGTCGAGGTCCACCTTACGCTGAGTGCTATCTAGAGGTGGACCTAGACTTGATTAGATATGACGGCTCGAGTAGGGTTAGGATGTGGAGAGTACTCTCCCTGAGCGTGTAAACTTAGCTTGAGGTTGGCCTGACTTGTGTCACAGGTCTCTTGAATCAAGTCGCTTTAGGACGTGGGCTGGACTCTGCTTGATCCTGTTAGGATCACCTTCTGTTATCACAGATAACAGGTCGGTTGCCGATTCGTCGGTTTACGACTCAACCCCTACCCACTCTCCTTACTCAACCTAAAGAGGCTTCAGCCCTGGTGATCTTTTCTGTTTTGTTAAGGTTTCACCCGGACTTTTATTGAATGGACATTTAACAAAGGTACTGAGTATTTACTTAAGGTTGGTTGGCTGGAGGTTGGGGCTTGCATGGTTGAGGCAAAGGGTATGAGCATAGAGATTGGTTGGAGTTGACTCCGTGTAGTGTATGGACTTGTGCTTGACTCTTTGATGTGATTGAAGGTATGTTCTGTGGCTTGGATTATTGGATTGGACTGCCCTGCGATCTTATATATGTGCATGAGGAGACCCACTTTGATTGTGAGATGTGATCGTCACACGTTCATTCCCATATGTGTGCATATGTGTGTATATGCGTATGTATGCGTACCTATGTAGGGTACTTGTGTGGTCTGAAAGGGGCCGCGTGCTAAGGAGTTAATCAGGGGTTGGGCTAGTAGAGAAAGGATGACCCCATTACTTATATAAGTGTTTCTTTGAGATTGCTAGTCGGACGTTGGTCCTGGGCCGGAATTCAAGGTCCTTCTCCAGGACATCCCAAGCCCTAGGCCCTGCACTAAAGGGGACCCCACTCGGGCAGAGCCTATTTGCCTTGACCGCCAAGGCGCTCGGGCCGAAAGCCGGACGTGCCGCGGCGGCCGCACGGCTAGTCCTTCAGCCGTACAATGTCGTGAAGGGCGAAACCTTCACGATACTTCGAGTCTGATACGTGAGTGTCATAAGCGGTACTCGGATCCACAAGGGACCGCTCAATTATGGGCACTGCATAGTACACCATCTTTGCGACTGCTTGTGTGCGTTGGCATTGCTAGTCAATATGAGAAGGCCTACGCCCGCGCGGCTTTATATTAAGGCTCGCGCACGACGCTCAGCTGATTCCCGCACCAGGAAGTTATGGGATGAATACTAAGGGACTATGAGGGTGTCACGTTGTACGTCCTTTGCGTCGTTCAGTACTTGTGTGCGTGTGTGCGTGTGCTTTACTTTTATATACCTTATAGTGGTGTGCGCGTGGCGTGTGGGATGCGTCCTAGTCGACCGGCGACGAGCCGTGCTTGGGACCTCAGCCCCCCACGATGTCGGTTCGCGTGCGGGTCCGATAGAGGCGTGGTACCGCGCGTACCCCTTATGCTACAGCGAACGAGAAACGCCCTCGGCTGGTCCACCTCTGCGATTGCAGCTGATCAACTTTCGTACTGTGGACTGGTAGCTCGGCGGGGATACGCCCACCGAAGGGAGGTGACTGCTCCCGTAAGATGGAGGTAGTCGTGCCTTGCGTAGGCCCTGTCCTGTCGTAGGGGCTCGCGAGAGGTATGGCTGGCGCACCCGGCTGGAGCGGCCTAAGGAAGCTCCATTTGTGTGTTCGCGGGAAGGTTGGTCCAACTCCTGCGTGACGAGGTCGGGAGGGTCCCGCGCTACCTATGAGTGGTGCCAGATTGATGCGCTCGACACCGCTGGGGATAGGGGGTTACAACTTTATCTTTGATGTGCGGGACAACCTCTTTGGATTTGTCGATGGTCGGGTCATTCGCACGAAGACTGGGGAAACGATGGCCCGATGCATCGAAGAATATTACCTACGCTACCCCTTTGTCTCAAGATTTGTGATGGACAGAGGATCTGAGTTCACCTATGCGGAAGTAAAAACTCTTTTGAAGAGGTATGGGGTAATCGCCGAGTACACTACTGCGGCGCACCGTCAAGTTAATGCACCGGTGGAAAGAGGGCATAGCACCATCACGAATCTTCTCGCCAAGTGGACTGATGGCAGACCCCATCAGTGGCCAAATTTTCTAAGGATCGCTGGAAAGAGGCCAAATATTACTGTCAGGAGAAGAACCGACTATGCACCGACCACGTTATGGTATGGCAGGCATGCCACATTTCCTATTGAAAGCTTCCTAAAGACCTGGAGGCGGCAGAATCTCGAGACTGATCTGACGTTTGAAGAACTGCTTGACTTAAGGGCACGTCAAATTGATGCTATAGAAGACAGGATTGAGGAGGCGGCCAGTAGGACGGCTTACAGTCGCGCCAAGGACAAGTTCAGGTGGGATAAGATGGCGAGGGTAAGGAAAGAACCCCTCAAGGTAGGAGACATTGTGTTGTTGTATGACTCATCGTTGGAGAAGCAGTGGTCACGGAAGCTGGACAAGAGGTGGTTGGGACCATACAGGGTCACCAGGTGTGGGAAGCACGAAGCCTATCAGATTGAGGAGTTGAACGAGACGGCGTGGAAAAATTGGGTGTCAGGCTCGAGGATGAAAAAGTTTGTGGCTCATGACCAGGTGATAATGGGCCGCAGCAGTTACAGTCACTTTCTGAGCACGTTATATAGGAGCAGTAGTATAAGTAGAATGTATGAGATATTGTTCTTAGTAGAATAGCGTGACAGGTTGTGACTTCTTGATTAGACTCGTGTATGTATGAATGCCAATGTAGATAGGTAGATGGTTGGGATAGTTGTGGGAGGACTATGTCTGTCTCCTGTTGTGTATCCAACATGCTTACCCTCTGTGTGCTCCTGTTTGTCTCCTCTTTGTTATGCAGGCTTGACACCGCTGGGGGCAGCCATGCCAAGAGGGAGGGGAGGGGCAGAGCCAGTGGAACCCCCCCTGGGGGCGACCAGACAGAGAGCGCAGATGGGCACCAGGAGAGAGGACAGGCCTCCGGTTTTCCAGGGAGGGAACATTGAGTTGTTCCTGATTGAGTTCGAGAGGCATGCTCGGGAATTTGGATGGGATGGCACCAGGATGCTAAGAGAGGTACTAGGCACAGGCGAGTGGACAGACCCCATTGCCAACCTTGTCAGGGAGTCACTAACCTGGCAGGATTTTGAGAGGAAGATGGAGGGTTTGCACCCATCACTAGTGGGAAGAGATGGACAGCCCATCCGATTCGACTCCACTAATCTGGGGGAATTTCTATGGGCTTATGACCAATATGCGGATGAGCTGGATATTCCAGGGGAGCAGAGGACGGGGAGTTTTCTCCTGTACGTAAGGCGACACATCAGGTCATTCGTCAGGTCTATAGTGACACCTGCAATGAGTTGGGGTCACTGCAAGAAGCTGTTGTGGAACTACTATACCCCAACGCGTCAGGCAGGTGAGAGAGGGAGTTTGGAAAAGAGAAGGAGGGAGCCGGAGGCAGAGGAGAGGAGAACCTTTGAGCGAGGCATGTCATCAGGGACTCAAAGAGAGGACAGGAGGAAGGAGCCCAGATCCCACAGGCACGAAAGAGCAGGAAGATCAGGTGGTCCAGGGGTGCCTCCACAGCCTGCTCGGAGGGAGGTGGAGTGTCCCATGCCAGACGTAGAACCAGGCGAGCCTCATGAGCCACAGGTACAGGAACAGAAGGAGGAGCAGTCTGCCCAGGAGAAGGAATTGGACAGAAAAGAGAGAGAGGCAAGGGACCAGGAGATCAAGGTTCAACTCAGGATGAGGAACCTTGCTGAGCTGCATGAAAGGATGCAGCAAAGAAAAGTGCCTGAGGAGGTGGATGATAGAAGGGGTAAGGGCACTTGCACCCAGGAGGAGGACCTGCCCCTGTTTTCAGAAGTCTGGATCGGCTTTGACAGGCTAATGGAGGTTGCAGGAAGATCTGGAGGACATCACCAAGAGATGGGGGTCAAATTGGTCTCTACAGACCTATTTAACCTGAGGGGTGTGATGAGGGAAGGCTTCGCAGCAGCCAGAGCCTCGGATCAGAAGGTCGGAGAAAGATTGACGAAAGTGGCACAAAAGGTATATGGCCAGAGGGTGGAATGAGAAAGCGAGATTGAAGACTTGAAGAAGGAATTGGGAAGACAGAGCAAAGAGGTGGAGGCAGTGAGAGCAGATATGGAGAAGGTTTGGGCAGAGAACGAGGCCGTCAGGCAAGTCAACCAGACCCTTAACAAGGTCAATGACGTCCTGAGGGCCTACTTGCAGGCACAACAAGTTTCCTTTCAAGCAAAGGAGGCCGAATGGGAAAAAAAGATACAAGACCTCGAAGCCAAGTGTACGCGACAGGCTTCAACTGCAGTGGTGGATTGGACAGAGGTCCACGGGTTTTAGATCAGGGAACGACCTGTAGCAGAAGCCTTCAGGTGCCAGAAGGAAGAAGAAAAGGCGGACCAGCAGGAGGGCGAGGAGATTCCCCTGATAGATAAGGAAATGTTGGAGCCGAGAGGGGAACTTGCTGTGAAGAGCTCACAGGTTGGAGGATTTGAGTGGAGGATGCCGGCGGGTCTGACACTGGGACAGGAGTCGGCGATGCCAGAAGAGAGGCCATCAGCTGAGGCAGTGAGAGTTGAGGCAGTTCTACCTACAGCTCAGGGAGAGACCATGGGACAACAAGAGGGTCAGAAGAGCGTGGGCCAGACCATGGTTGAGACTGAGCCGAGGGTGGGCTTGAAGAAACGTCAGGGATCAGTTATACCGCAGGACATGCCTCTGGTTGCGGGGTTGAGGGACGCTTTGGGATCTTGGGCCACTGGTTCGGGGCCAGAGGGACGTGTCGGCGAGCAGGTGATGCCAATAGATGAGAGAGCAGCCTGCCCCACTTCCCCAGAGGTCCCACAACAGGAGGTCACGAGTAAGATCTCAGCAGTCCTGTCATCAGTACCTTCGCAGGAAGGAGACAAGACGTCCCAAAAGAAGGTTGGCAAGTGCTTTTACTGCAAGAAGGGCAAGCATCGATCTGACGACTGCCCCAAGAGCCTCAAAGATAAAGCGATGGGTTTGTTATCAGAGAGTCCACTGGAGTGTGGAGGGACAAGAATGGAGTCCTAGTTCCTAAAACTCGTGATGGGGTAAGGGCGCAGTTGTATAGGCAGCTGCAGGAGGTCATGAGTGATTAGGAGTAGGATTTTCTAATAAGGTCCGGAAAGGTCTAAAATCTAATATACGCGAGACATCTCTGACTCTCGAACTGATGGTTGCTGGTATATAGAGGGATACATGGAGGGTTGGAGCAGACCCATGTACATCAGATAGATGAGCCAGTAGTGAGATGTTACTTTCGCGTTATAGACTTGAAATTTTTTTTTGTACAAAAGATAACACTAAGTATGATTTTGACTGTTTTTTCTCTCCTTCGCTAATGTGATGCGGAGTGTTAATATCCTTGTAGAATAACGCTCGTGAGTGAGGAGCAACTGTCGAGTTTCGATACTTCGACACTTGGATACCTTAAGTCTTTGTTGGATATCTGAACTCTTTGTATGATACCTTAATTTCTATGATAAGGACATGAGTCTTTGCTTATTGCAGGGCCTCATATCCTGTGTGTATATATGAGTCTCAAACCTTGTCATTTTTATTGTGTACGGTGTGTCACACTCACTTTCAGTTTGTGGACTTGCCCATATGGATAATGGTGTGATGAAACGAATGTTGTGAAATGAACAGATTTACGCTTTCTTCCGCTATACTTGCGCATCCCGGTCCTAGGGACAAGTGGAGCCCAAAGTATACTGGGAGAAAGTGCCCTTCAGATGTTTGAGAAAGAGCTGGCATGGTGTGGTTTGGCTCAGATGGAAGGATGATGAATGGAAAGGTCGCAACGAAAGTTGTGTCTTCTGTATGATATGGAGAAGAGAGAGGAAAACCCAATGACCAATTGGACTTTCTTAAAATGATGAAATTTGTGAAGAGCACTCAAAAGAGATGCTATAGAGATGATAAAGTTTTGTGTGTATGTAAAGTCTAACGAGGGAAGACCAAGTGTTTAATGAGAATAACGGATGAAAATTTCTGGCAATTGTGATGGAACTTTGAGAACTATTTTGTGAGATGTCTGTAAAAAGACGTGTGACCTCACCTACTCTTGATCGAAGTAAGGGAGGCACGACCTTGTGAAATTATTGAAAAATTGATGGAATTATTGAGAAAGGCGCTATCCCTTCACGTAGTCCCGTGGGCAGTTGGTATGTGACCCTTTGTTTATTCTGAAAGTTTTTGGAAGAAAGTGCCAGACCACAATGGAGTCAATCTAAGGGACATACTTGTGAGGCCAAGCTAAGAGGCTATACTTAGCATCGCTGGAACTGTAGAACCTAACTCCCAGCGAGGGCCGTTGGCCGGCGCAACCTGGCAGCAGGACCATGGCTTACCAAAGGTTAAGTCTTGAAGGGTCGGCCACCCGGAGAGGTTTAGCTAGAGGGGAAGTCATTGGGGTCGATTAAGTCAAAAGTCGGGACCCTTCGGGATGCCAAGATAGGAAGAGTTGCTTATCGTTGCGTAACCAACGAGGACACCATCGCTACATAACAACGCTGTGGGCCGTGGATTCGGCGTGATCGACCGTTCCATGGTGGGCCAAGATGGAGGACTAAAGCCACCTGTCTTAGACTCCAGGATGGACGTTCATTATGATTGGATACTTGAGGTGGTAACCATTACCATTTGGGGACTAAAGGTGCCTCGTAGTTTGAGAGGTCTCGGTTAGGGTCCGCGTCCTAAGTTATGACCCCGTACGCGGGACGATGACTAAACAGGACACCCAACGGTGAACCGGCAGATGTCTACGACGAAGGGAGAGGACTATCAACCTACTACCTGGGAGCAGGTAGTACGCTGTAGTACGGAACAAAGTATCCCCTAACTCCGAGGCGAGGACGTGGGAGGCCTAGGTTAAAATCCTGGCAGTGGAACACCGTGACGGGAACAGGTTGATAAGACAACCTCGTAGAGAGTCGAGCCGGTGAATCGGAATGGTTATCTCCTCGTCAGCAAATGTGGTTGTGTTTATAGCTTTGATTGTCCGACGCGACGGGGATATCGCTTAATAAGGTCCGGAAAACTGTCGGCCCGAACACCCTTACAAGGGTATTTGGGCGCATATTTGCAACTTAAAGGAAGAACGCGCCTGACGATATCTAGGGGCGCGTCCCATTTGTGTTGATTAGAGAGTGTGTGGGCATGCACTTTGCGGGCATGCATAAGTTCAGTATAAACAACCAACCACCGGCAGACTAGGCTAGAAGTAAATTAGGAAAACTTGGACAGGGTTGAGTGGGCCGCAACCTTGCACTCACAGACAAAGTGACGATCAGCAGAGAGTGAAGCAATGGGACTAAGGCTAGAGGGAGGTTTTTGTTGATTCGATGAAAGGCGGCAGTTGCCGAGGTCGCACAGTGCGCACCACACTAAGGTGACGAGGTAATAGCGGTGTTTGGACTCGTTAGAGAGGTCCGAGGGAGAAAGTGCGAACAGGATTTAGTAAGTGCAAACGCCGGGGTTTTCCGGCAAGGCGGCGATAAAAGGGGCGGTCGCGGCGGGCTATGAGGGCCTCGGGCCGCGACCGCGGCATGAAGAGGCGATGCTCGTGGTGAGCCGAGTAAAGCCTGCCCTTGAGGCAGCGGAACGCGACATTGCAAAGTCATGGGCTTTGGGAATAAGCCGAGCGGTGGCCTTGGCACACCCTTGCGGGCCTGGGCGGACTGCAGTTACTCTTCATATAGAGAACTGGGCCTGCTACATCCAGGCTTGGGCTTAGCCCTATTGGTTACGTCACCGAACTACCAACTTGCAGATCCCGGGATCGAGGCCAACAGTCTGCAACAGAGCAGCGAAGGAGTGCAGTTTGAAGGAAACTGAGGGCTTGAGGGTCCCACGGGACTATCCCCTTTAGTTTTGCGGGGGGGGGGATCCGATCACGGGCCCGCCAGGTAGGATCAAGTACCGACGGTCCTCTCCCCCATCCGTTTTTATTTTTATTGTTCTTTTTTTTTTTCTGTTTATTTGGGACAAGGTCCGGTATCGGTACCGGGACCTGCAACGACGCCCAACAGCCTTGTTCAGTGGCTACACCATTGAACTGTCGAAATACAGACCTGTGTCCGGGACCGGATGATGCAGCTATTCTGAGGCAGCAGACCAGCGGTCCCGTCTCTCTGCCCAAGAGACAGTCCTTTGGGACATCTGTTAAAATTGGAACGATACAGAGAAGATTAGCATGGTCCCTGCACACGTTTGATTCACATAAATAAGAGAGGTCGGTCCCTCTCGTCGTTTGTTATAGTGAGTGTTGTACGAGAGGGTGAAACAACGCCTACTAGCGGGAGAGAGGCAGTATAGGAGGAGAAAGAGGAAGGAGTGGAGGAGAGGGAGGTAGCGTAGGAAAGCGCAACTCCGGGAGAAGGGAAGCAACAAAAACAAAAAGAAAACAAGAGGTGGGAATGAACCTGGACGCGGCTTCGCGCCATGTGCGTTCGAAGAAGAAGGGAGAAGAGAGAATCTGAAAATGGTCTAGCTCGCTCGTTCCTGAATGGAACGAGCGATTCAAAAGATGAATCTGAGGGTTTTGGGCAGGGCGAAGCTGATGGCAAGTGTAAAATTTGCGATAGGCGGATGGCTTAGGCGGTACCAGCAGTATGAGTGGCGCGGCTGTTACGAAGAAGAGCTGGGAGAGTGAGGGGGAGAGTGTAGATAGGATTGAGAGTGTAGATAGGATTGAAGAAGGCGGGGAGAAGGAGGTAATAACAAGACAGGGGGGGGCACTTACCAGAACATGGCAGCGGTGGTCGGGATCTTGCTGCTATTGGTGGTCGCCATCCTCGTCTTAACTGTTGCGAAGGTGTGTTCGGCCGTGTGTTAGCGAGAGGATCAATCTCGTCGTTACCTCGGCAAGCGACGATGTTTAGTGTACTGCTTTGTTATGAGGGTGGGTTCAGTCTCTGGGTAGCAGTATGAAGGTCATAACCGCAGGCCTTCACTCCTTATCACGGCCGCCATCATCACCCTAGCAGCAATCACCGACAGAGTTGTTGTTTTCACTATCGAGTGATATCCTTCATGGTTGTGGTGTTGCCTTGGTGAACCGTTGTATGAAGTAGGGTCGTGATTACAGTCCTTGAGTCCGCTGATCTCCACTCACCCAACTCGTAGTCTTCACCTCTTTCGTTGACGAGGCCCCAGTCTTGGCTTTGAACGAATTTGGCCAATCTAGGGACTAGGTGCAGTCGTGAATTGGGAGTTGCACACACCCATGCACGAAGAAGGAAAGCGAAAGAGGGATCGAGATAGCAGAATAGAGAGGGGTTGGTAGTAGCAGCATGGTAGAGGACCTTCCCACGATAAGGCGGAAGGTTCAGCCTCGGTTCATTCCCTGTCGGGATCCCCCTACATGTGCTCGTTACTGAAGTGTTCGCTTGAGTGCATAGCAGCTCAGCGTACATACTCGTAGTGTTTGCCACCACAATCATCCTCATTTGATAGGTCGCTGCCTTTCGTATCCTGCTCCCGTTCCCTTGTCGTTAGTTAGTCTCACTACTACAAAAGTTGTATGGATATCCTAATCCCAATTTTTTTTTATTACTAAGAAGGGTCACAGCCATTGTCCCCTTCGCCAACTGGCTTCAGTGGTGCCGCGGTTCCGCTCGTTCCCCATTACTTGGGGTGATGTTCGTTCCGGCATAGTCATTTTTTCTCCCTGGGGCCTGTGAGGAATATTTTTCGCGCTTTAGAATAAGGTTCATACTTGGTGTTTGCACCTGGGGAATGCAGGGAGCGGCCGCACGCGGGTCTGAGGGTGTATGAGAGGGACGGAAAGGAGGCGAGTGGGAGAGAGAGATTCGGCAGGGGCTGAGGGAACCGATTCAAACGGAAGAGATTCGGCGGTCGCAAAGCAGCATTCGTTAATCATGGTCTATAGTATAGGATCGGGGTCAAGACTATCAGTAAAATCTAAGGCTCAGTGGGGGGATAGCAGCTGCCATGGTACGGCTGCGACAACAGATTCAAGATTCACACCGGGGGTGTGGATTGTTGTGGCGAACTGGGGTATTTTCGGTTTCAGCTTCTGTCCGTCGCTGCATTTCGATGTGCTCAGGGCGGTGCTTGTGGATATAGTTAGCAACAAACGGCTATTTGACGGGGGGGGCTGACACTAGGCAGGTGCTGGTGCTG